GAACAGCCCAATTCATCAAACGGGCAGAATATTTGAACAGCACTTCATAAGAGATCCTGGATTGGCCCGTACGCCCTGAAAGGATGCTTCACTGTTCACTGCAGCACGAGGACACTGGGGATCTTTTCATTTGTGCATTTGTTTTGAATTGCTGTGTTATGAACGCACATTTACCAAATGCCAGGCTCAATTCACTATATTTTTAAAAAGGAGATTTGGCCCTGCATTGGTCATGTGGTCTTGTCTGTCTTCAGGGTTTGAGTATTTACCATTCAGTGGGAGAGCAGCGAATAATGAGGCTGTTTTCTGTTAACCTAATAACATTTTCGCAAAGGAGCGGAGATATTATTAGGGGTGGGCGTGTTGCAGAGTGCATTCTCTGAGATTATTGGCTAAGGTGGGAGAGAAGAGTCAGCAAACCAACTGTTTACATTTTGTTTCCAGAGGCGAAATGTTAGTTTGTTTAAGGCAGGCAGGTTGTCCTGTTGAGATGTGTTAGCTCAGGGAAAGCATTGACTGCGCTTGGCTCCTTGATAGGAGGTACAACTCGTGACTCATTTATTACGGGTCTAGAATCAGTTCCCAACATGTTCAGTAGAAAAACAAACAACTTCCTTGTTTTATGAAGAGCGAACAGAAGAAAACTTGTTAATTTCCTAATTGTTCTCCCCTGCCCCAGACGTGAGCTCCACACATGTAGCTGAAACCGTGAACTTGAGCTTGGTAATCACACAACCGTGTTGTCACCGACCCCCCCGAAGGTGTGGCATCCATGTACTCGTCATTGTGACCATTCCTGGGTGCATTCCTAGGTGTATAATTACCTGTTTGTCAGAATGGCACTGCCATCCTTGTCTAGAGTAGGTCATGTATGTTATGAACATTTAATGAGTTTATGCAAAAATTTATTTTGTACCATTTCATAATGCACTGGTGTGAATGAGAAACTTTCAGCTAGGGAGGCATCCTCTTAATTCAGCCACAACTCTGGAGTAACCATCATTTTCAGGAACTCTTTAACGCACCTTCCTGCCTGCTTAAATTACAGTTTTCAGCATGTGACTTCATTTCCTTCAAAGAACGTCTTACCCATTTACCGTATTTGCCGGCGTATAAGACGACCCCCTAACATTTCCACTCAAAATACAGAGTTTGTTATATACTCGCCGTATAAGACTACCCCCTCTTCCGCACACCTTCCACACACCAAATAAAAGGTAAAACAATATCAGATTTGATTTCAACATTTATATTTATATTCAAATGCTTATGACATGCAGGAAAACTGTCACAAGGCTGTATGTAATCAAACATATACATAAATCGCGATTCGCGATTTTGCGCTATCATACTGGGTGTATGGTCGGCTGTGTGCGATTTTGCGAGTGTGGTAAAATCGCATAACAGCAAAATCGCATAACAGCCGAGCATACACCCAGCAGCATTGCTGATGCCTGAACGGTATGTGGAATGAAGTGGGCGGGCATCGGGAGGCCACTATGGCACGGGGCAAGCACTATGGGCAGTCTATCTGAAGTGTACCTGGCGTATAAGACGACCCCCCACTTGGAGGCATATTTTTCAGGGCCAAAAAATCGTCTTATACGCCGGCAAATACGGTAGCATATCTGAGAATTCTTTTTCCCCCAGGAAAATGAGGTGTTTCTCTTACATTGAATAATAGAACCTGAATCCTTTTATTTCTCTTACCCACAAAACTGGTCTTTGAACGTAAATGTACCGTTTTCCTAATACAAAGCAGAATCGTGTCCTTGGCCCTGTGAAAGGCATCCTCCGCTTCCTCATGCATTCAGGCCCTGCCTGCGAAACTTGCAGTTAACAGCACGAGCATCACCAGACGGGCTTCCTCACCCACTCGCAGAGCCCGTGAGGGCCACTGCGCCTTCCTCTCTGCCCTTGCTCCTCTTCTGGGTGTTGCCTCGAGTGCATCTCACAGAGCTCCCCTCTCCCGTTGGGACATTGTTGGTGGCACCTGTCCATCCTGCTGGGAGCTGCCTGGCAGGTCATTGGAGAAGTGGGGATGTGAGGGTGGCTTGAGAAGCTTTGAGTACAATTTCAGGTGGGGCCGCTCAGCTGAGAGTTAAGAACCACTCTCTGTCTTAAACACAAGATGCCTTCCTTGTCAAACCCTCCAGCCAGAGCTTCGTGAACTCTCTGTGGGGAACAGCCAGTTATCTGGACCAATACCCCCAAACCATCCTGAACCAATATGTTTACAAAATATAATAAAATGAGTTACTAGAAAAAGAAAAATTTTTTAAGACAAAATTCAAACCCTAATTGTATTATAAGATTCCACAGATATAGCGTGACTCTTGCCTCAGTGTCCATCCTCATAGACGGACAGTGGTCGCCAGGCCTTGCTTTGACTCGCACTTACTAGTTCAGTGACCATCAGGAGGGTACTTAATGTGTGAGCCTCACTTCTGTCATCTGTAAAACGCCACCGATAATGAAATCATTCACATGTCTGTCATCATCACATACGTGCTGGATGTCTATTAAATAGAACTTCATTCTCCATCCTACCTCAGTCTGTGCACCAGGCGACTGGGGAGTGTGTTTCTTTGGTGGGAGTGATGTTTATAATAGTTTATCTTGTACTGGAGTGGTCATTAATACTGGCTTATCTTTTTGTTTCCAGGCCTTTTCATAAACAGCTAGGAAATGAATATTTTTTAGAAAGAGAAAATTATATCATGAATTCATGCTCATATCCCTAATTTAAATGTAAAGTTAACTTCTTTTTAATGCGTAAAATCTTGTTCCTAGTGATAAATTACCCATTTGCTATAAACAAAAGGTGTAAATAACCCGTGCAAAGTAACCGTGCCAACGTATTACACTCAGACGCCTGAATGTGGTTTTAAGGTTTCTGTGAGGTTCTCTGTGAGTTTAAGATACATCTCTCTAGAAATGTGAAGTCAAAATACTGTTTTAACTCTGAAATGATTTTTTTGTTTTACATGTCATCAGATTAATTTGTTTCTGTTTCTATAGCTTTATCAATTTAATTCTTAAAAATTACATAAACTATATACAGGATTCCAAAGTCAGAATTGGACACCAGGTACATTCTCAGAGGTCTCACCTCCATTCCTGTTCTTTGCCCTCTGGATAACCATTAGTAGTTTTTCACTTAACCCTTCACTGTTTCTTTTTAGAAAGATAAGAAAGTCCATATGTTTCTCCTCCCTCGTTACACCAGAGGTTCCCGTGGAAGCCTGTTCTGCACTTGGCCTTATTTGTCACTTCCCGTTCTAGCCTGGACCCCTCCATAGCAGTCCATCTCTATCTTCTGCCTTCGTTTTCACAGCTAGAGAGGAGGCTTTTGTACTTGTGCCATGGTTTGCGTCGATGGATCTTTGAGTTGTTTGCAAGATCTTCGTTGGTATAAATTTGCTGCACTCAAAATCATTAGTCATCAGAATGCAAATCGAAACCACAATGACACACCACGTCACACCTACTAGGGTGACTAAAATAAGAGACAGACCATAACAAGTGTTGACCAGGATGTGGAGCAATTAGAACCCTCACACACTGTTAGTAGAATGTCAGATGGGGCAGCCACTTGGGAAAACAGCCTGGCAGTGCCTCAAAATGTCCAATAGAGTTACCTAAGAAGCAAGCGATTCCACTCCTGCCTAGGTATACAGCCAAGATACTGAAATATATATGCCCCTCAAAAACGTGTACATAAATGATAACAACATCATGATAGCCAAAAGGTGAAACAAATGTAATAGTCAGAAGGTTGAAACAACTCCAACGTCCATCACTTAAGTGAATGGCTAACTAAAATGGGGTCTGTCCAGACAATGGAATACCATTCAGCCATTAAAAGGAATGAAGTACTGATATGTGCTACAGTGTGGGTGAGCCTTGAGAGCATTGTGCTCGGTGAAGGAGGCCAGTCACAAGAGGCCACATATCGAATGATTCCGTTTGTCTGAAATCTCCAGAGTAGGCAAATCCAGAGGCCGACAGTACATTAGTGGTTGCCAGGACTGGAGGGGAAGGGTGGAGTTTCTTCTTGGGGTGATAAATTAGACAGTGGTGGTGATCTGCAACTTTGTGAATATGCTAAAATCCACTGAACTGTATGCTTTAAAAAGGTGAGTTTTATGGCATGTGAATTGTCATCTCAATATAACTTATAAAAATATAAATTGTGCCACAATGAATAACCTTGTGCAAACAAAATTTCGTGTGACGATGTATGCTTATCTACAGTCCTAGAAATGGGATTACTGGGTCTAAAGAGTAAACATCAATAGTGTCTGGACTAGGTATTGCCATTCGGCCAGGTGAGGAATGGCATCTCAGTGTGATAATAACTTACCTTCCTCTTATTGTGGACGCTGAGCATAGTCTGATATCGCTGGGCCACCCGCGTTTCTTTTTTTCTGTGCCATTTCTGTCCATGTATTTCATCCATTTTTCTATTGGATTGTTGGTCTTTTCTCAAATTTTGCATGTTCTTTATATTATTAAAATATTAACCCCTTGCCTGTAATATTGTACGATTATTTTTTCCAGTTTTCATTTGACTTTTTTTAAAAATCTAGTCAAATTTTAAAACCCATTCCCTATGGCTTCTGGATTTTGAATCCTAGAAAATCTTTTCCTACTCCTAGCTTAGAAAGAGAATTCACTTTCTAGCACTAGTGAACTGTAAACTCTGATCCATTTGGAGTTTATCCCAGTGAACAATGTTAGGAAGAGAGCTACTTTTATCCTGTTTATATGGCTACCCAGCTGCCTGAACATTTGTGAGGAAGGGGAGGAGAAAGCATCACTCCTTGCTTACATGTCTGTTGTTAGGTAACTCTGGTTTGGTGGAGGTGTTCCAGGTAATTGCACCAGCAGCCACATAGCAGTGAGGAAGGAAATGAAGAAGAAGTGCATTAGCTGTGATCTCTGACGCTACCCAGGCTGTTTCCAGCGTGTAAATCTGTCCTGTGCTTTCTCTCTAGGTCAGTGAGATGGATGGCATTCCTTTGATCCTGGACAGCTGCAGCCCCGATGACAGAAACCCCTGTATCCTTGCATGTGAACCACAGAGCACTGGTCCCCGACCAGGGGTCTCAGTGCTCCACGTCCCCTTCCTCGTGTCCATGTGACATGCAGCTCGCATGCTTTCCTGTTGCTTCTTCCTCAGAACGCAGCCGCTTTCTCAGAGTTATATGCTGGCCGATCAGTGAGCTGATGTGTTCAAGGTAAACAGGACATTCTAAACCAGCATTCTGATGAAAAGGGCTTCAAAACTGGGGCAGAGACAGCTCGTCCATGGCCCCTGTGTGCTGCATGTCACCAGTGTCACCTTTCCAAACTGTGTATGTGTTCTTTGGAGTAAATGTGAAGAATTTTACATGTGTTTGCTATAAAGATTCTAAGTACAGGGTCCTTTGGAAGAACCATTTAAACAGTGATTTGGTGACATAGAACATGAGGAGCACTGAGACCCCAGCCATAGGGAGAGACATTTCAGTGGCACTGAACTCTCGTTTTCGATGGGTCCTGTCCCGTGACTGTCTGTGACTGAAACTGGGGGCTCTGACTCTTGCCGTTACCTAGGCGGAAACGACTCACCTGTATTCTCTGATGTTACCTAGTCTGGGGGGTGTTCTGCAAGGGACTTGCTTCACCAAGTAGCTGGACTGGAGGAAACTGGCCAGTGCAGGGACCAGGGAGCGGATGGAGCCTGGTTAGGTTGAGAGAGAAACGGGTTAATTTCAGGACCGTCCCTGGTGAGAGCTAAAGCCCGCCAGCCCCTTGCCCGGGCTGCTGCAGGATTTTGTGTTAACTGTGTGTGTGTGTGGGGGGGCATTTAAGGCCCTTGTAGGGACTGAGGGTGTGGCCCTAGGGACACAGGAGCCCAACGGAGGACAGGGCAGGGGCATTTTAAAATCACATTCCCCTCTGTGCTTCCTGTCAAGAAGAGAAAAGGAGCCGATGAAAATCATGTGTTTCAAAGTACGTAGGCAGGAAAATGCTCATTTGTGTGAAAGAGCATTTGTCATGTCTGATTAGCAACAGGAAAAAAAATATCTATTTCAGAGCATACAGTTCGGTCAGGGAAAGAGAGACAGCTCAGACTGTCCTTCCAGGTGGGACAGAGGGCTCGCTGCACGGCATTGTCACCGGGCACTCAGCGGGCACTCAGGCTGGGCTCCTGAGAACTGAAATGATTTCCGTCAGAAAGGGAAAGGAGAAAGGAAAGAAGAAAGCTCTCCGTCGCAGGAAAGCGGCAGGAAAACGCTCAGGCGCTGGTGCCAATCTCCTGATGAAAAGGGTGATTCATTATGACAGAGGAAATTCACCCCCAGGTTTACTTTCTGGTCCCTGCACTGACCTGGTGAAAACGGGTTTTACCACCAGTCTGGCTTTTCCAGTGCACAGGCCCCCAGAGCCCCTCAGCTGTGTGCGATGTGTGCCCAGGCCTTCGCGGTCCTGTCGTCGTGCACCCGCTCCCCTCGGGACAGTTAGCGGGCCCTTGCTATGTTTACACGCGTGACTATGTCTGCGCCCGACGACGCCATGGGCGGTGCTGTCGGGCTCCTCCTCTCTGTGTCCTAGGTGAGCAAGTGGGTGGGCTCAGTGACTTGTCCTGAAGGTCAGGCCCAGAGTTTAAACTGTGTGTGTGCCTGGCTCTTAGCCGCCTGCCACCTGCCACCCTGCCTGCTCACCAATCACTGGGAGGGGACAGAGAAACCACAGTAAGTCTACATGTAGCGGAGACATTACTCAGAATTATAAGTTGAAAACATTGACGTAGATACCCTGTAGAGATAACTGGTTTTTATGATGATAATGAAGCATTGCAAGCTCCCAGAATCGCCTCTACATTGCCAAGAAAAGGTAAAATATTGCATGTTTAGTGTTGTATCTATTCAGTCATTCTTTAGAGTCTTATTTATTAAAGCTACCAGATTTTAAAGGCACATAAAATATGCATGAGGTATGAGGTAACATCCTAAAATATCAGCAAGGGAGGAGGTGGGTGATGGGAAACAGGGACGTGTTATGCTCATAGCCCCAGAGCTCGGGCCTTCCACGTGAGCCATAAGCTGCAGCCCGGCCTTGGTAGTGGTCACAGCAGACAGGACATGATACAGGTGACGAAGCAAAGGCACAGCAGTGCCCCTGCCATGCCATGTCTGCCGCCCCCCCCCCCCCAGGCACGCTTTCCAAATATTGCCTGTTACCCTGACCTTGCTCTTTGCCGCTCATGCACTTGGTTCTTAGGGGGGGTGTTTTCCTATGTTTTTTAGTCATCAAAATCCTACATCTGAATTGGCCTTCTTTCTTTTAATGCCAAAAGGTGCTGAATGGGGGACGGAGATCCCTGGCTCCACCCTCCACACTTGTCGGTTCACCTCCTTTGCTCTTCTAGTAGTTGCTCTTGTCTGTCTGAACAATGTGCTTTGCTTTTGCTTCTTGATAGATCACATTGTGATGTTATCTATTTACTTTGTTGTGACCGAGGATTCGGCGCTTGTGTGCCACTCCTGTCCTCCCTCTCATTTCCACTGTGGTGAAGACGACAGATCGCATTTACTATTGCCTGCATGGTTGATGAGGCCCAGCATCTTCTAAAACGGTTGTTTGCGATTTGGATTGCGCCTGCATGCGCGCACGCGTGTGTGTGTGTGTGTGTGTGTGTGTGTGTGTGTGTGTGTGTGTGTGTACACGTACTTATGTAAAATGTGCTAGATAAAACATTTTGCCTGTGTTTTCATTGGGTTACCGCTCTGATTTATTTGTGTATCTTTATACATTCTAGATAGTTCTTCGTCAGCTACACGTGCTGCTAATACTTTTTTCCTTTTATTCTGTGACTTACTTTGTCATTCTCCATAGTTTCGACTTACAGAAGTTCTTAACTTTTAGTCAAATTTATCACTTTTCTATTACCGTTAAATTTTGGGGGGGCTGTATCTTGTTAAAGAATTATTTTCCTACCCTCGGATCATGGTGGTAACCTGCATTTTGAATACTTTATAGTTTTACATTTTACATTTAGGTCTGTTCGTTTTTGTGTGTGGTGTGAGGTGGGGATCTATTTCTGTATTTTTCCCCATGGGCACATAATTGTCCCAGCCCAGTTAATGTATTATTTTTGTTGCCATTCATTTAAAGTGTTTGCTGATTTCTGTTATGGTTTCTTTTTTGACTCATGGATTATTTAGAAATTCATATTTTAATTTCTAAACAAATAGGAATTTTCTAGTTACCTTTTGGAGCTTGATTTTTAGTGTAAATGCATTATGATCAGAGACCATGGACTTGATGTTCTATGTCCTGTGAAATTTGTTGGACTTGCTTTATGACCCAGAATTGGGCAGTTTTTGCAAATGTCCACTGTGTACTTACAAAGCACATCTACTCTCCAGTCATGGGGTGCGGTATTTTATACACACACACACACACACACACACACACACACACACACACACTAAGTCAAGTCTGTAAAACTTCTCTGTTTTTACTGATTTATTTTTTCTTTTCTCTACTTTGGTTTATCATTTACAGAGAAAGAGATGTTTAAATACTAGCCTATGATTGTAGATTTGTCTGTTTCTCCTTTTAGTGTATAAATTTTTTCTTTATATGTTTTAAAGCAGTGTTACTAGATAAAAGTGTGTACGATAGATGTTGAGATGTGTCCCTCTTGTTATAAAATGACCCTCTTTATCTGTAAAAATGCTTTTTGCCTTAAAGTCTTTATTGCCTGATATTAATATAGCTACTCTAGCACTTTTGGTTGGCATTTACATGGCGTAACCTTTTCAGTCTTTTTATTTTCATCCTTTCTGTATCCAAGGTGTTACTTGTAAACAGCTTATAATTGTTTTTTTTCTTAATCTAGTTTGACTGTCTTTCAGCTATTGCATTTATTCCATTTATATTTAATGTAATTACTGATATGTTTATACTTAAGGCCTCTCTTTTTGTCTTTTCTATTTTATTTTATTTTATTCTTTATTTTGGATTGTTTCCCTAATTCAATTTCTTTTTTTAATGATACAAATTATTTATTATTAGCTATTAAAATTCTGAAAATACTATCATTACAATTTAATAGCTAAGATTGATATAATTTTCAAGACTATTAATATAAAATATAACGGTTTTAAAACACAGCTGGAAAATAGTTGTCTCGCCCATAAAATTTAACTTTTAGTTCCATGAGAAATTAACAAAGCGAATAATAATAACAAAAACAATTCTAATTCAATTTCTTGTCTTTTTCTAGTTTAAAAGTTCTTTATTCTTTTTTCTGTTCTGTTCATAGTTCCCTAGGAAATGACAACATGCATTCTTAACTAAGCAGTGTTTAATGTTTCTCAAACCTTTACCCCCTTCCCAGGTAAGACAGGACCATTTAGCGCTTCCCAGCTTATATTGCTGTTACCAACACATATTTTCATTCTATAGTATTTTCAAACCCCATAAACTATCACTGTTGTTTTACAAAGTCATTGTCCATTTAGATCTGTCCACATGTTTACTGCTGTCCCAGCCCTCCACCCCTTCCGTCTCTCTCTCTCTCTCCCCGTGTCTCTCTCTCTCTCCCTCTCCCTCTCTCTCTCTCTCTCTCTCTCTCTCTCTCTCTCT